ACTGCCCACCACTTAACCTGGGCAACCACTATCACCCAGTAGATGGTGCGAGCTCTTCCCCAACGCTGTTGACGTTGATTCTAAGGGCACCAATTCAAGTACCGTGCCGGGCTGTTGTGTCCCGAGCGATTGAAAAGCCGATAGAAGCTGCAACTTGAGCCGTGCCACCTCCGTCTGTGGTGGTTGCACAGATATTTGCTGACTGCAAACACTCAGATAACCATTGGAAAAGAGGAGGCTTTGGGCAGCCTCAGTTGGATCGTCCCTTGCCTAAGGTCCCTAAAGACATTAACCCGAGAGAGCACTTGCTACACCTGGCAAGGATTGTGTGGCACCTTGTGCCCTGTGCCTGTCTCTGCCCAGCCACAGTTACTCCCACTGGCACTCCGAGCCTGCTGAAGATACTAGGCTGAAGTGCAGGACATGCCTTCATTCTAGAAGCGTGCTTCCACGTGTCAGATTGGTGGACTTCCTTTCCATGGCAACTGTGGAAACATAAAGCTGCCTGAATTCCAGAGGGGACCTGGATGGTCGCTTTGTTGACAGAATTCCTGCAGGCCCGAATAACCAAGGCAGTGAATTGTCCTCTCAGCCTTTAGATCTTGGTTTGATTCTGTGCCAAACTAATGGCGTCCCGCGTCTGCTCTCCCTCCGAGGGCTGTACAAAATGGGCTCAGTGCAGTTTTGACCCTGGTTCCATTGGCTCAATGGGCATCCTAAATCAGAGAACGCTGCGGGTCACTGGCACTGAAGGTGGCAGCCTGGTATTGGTATGTGCTTTCTGAGCTTGATCTGAATGGCACATTATTGGGCAGTCTAGAGAGAGGTTTACTTTGCATCAGACCTAAACGCACAAGTGTTTGCCTTGGCCAGCACTGAAACCTTCACTTAAAAAAACAACAGACAAGGTCATTGCCTGTCAACAGCTATGAGTTCCAAATCATGATTTAAGAGCGACACAAGTACAAGTCCATTTGAAATAGTTGTGAACGAAGAGATGTGTTGCAAGGGACTATACCCTGTGATGAGCTATGCCCTGGAGGTTGGCATTAACTCTGTCCAGAAGGACCTGTGCTGGCATGGATTCTGACTGTTCATTCCCAGAGCTGTCTGCTTTGCTCTTCAGTTGTGGAGAAGGGCTGTTTATGTTAGATATTCAAGTAGGAATAATTATTCGGGTTGCCCTGTGTACCCATTTTGCTTTGAAGTAACATTTTACCAACTACGTTCTTGGAGCAAACTTTTAAAAGGCAAGCTTTGTACGAGGTGAGACTTATTTAAAGAGAAATATGCCAACAAGATGGTGGAGATGGTAGAAAAGCTACCGTCAGTCTTGGTACGGTGCAAATTTCGAGGGTTCCCCACCAAACATTGACAAACAGCTGAGAATTCCCACAAGCTGGTGATTTACATGGAGGGAATCCCTTCCCAACGGAAAACAGCGCTCCATCATTTCAAAAGACAAAAGCGTAGTTGGTTGCATTGAGAAGATCATTGGTGAAGTCGTGGAGCCAATATTGGAGGGGGTGGGTGTGGGTCATGGCTGCTCCAATCATCTTGAGGCTGGGCAGTGCCACTCTAGAGGACCCACCTCTGTTTCGCACCCAGGAACTTCCTGTTGCCCATCATCTTTGAGATCAAGGTTGGGCCTGCAAGCCTTGGCAAAGTTAGCTTTTTGAGTAAGTTGCCATTCTCTGGTCCCTCCCCTGGTCTGCTTCCTTGATCCCCCTCTTGCAAATTTAGTCAATTCACGAGTCTAGTCCCAGAGATACCTCTTGCACTGGCATCTTGGCCAACAGGGAAAGAAGCTTTCCCGATCCGTGATGACTTTGTTGGGAATTCTCTATGGCCGAACTGGAGTGTGGTGAACCTAGTTTTGAAACCAATGGATTAGGTGCGAGGGCCTGGTTGACCCTATAAGCCTGAGGTAGAGGCCCTGCCTGGAATCCAGGTCCCAATTTGAACTGTGTACTGTCGCTAGTGTTGCAAAGTTAAGCTTTGTTTTCTCTGCTCATTTTTTATTGTTTCACCTAACTCTCAATATTTTTAGGTAATGTTCGGACAGAACTGTTGAGTCATTCTTTGGTTCACTTGGGCATCTATGACGACGGTCCATATGAAGCGGGTGATGAAAGAAAGCAGGACGCTAATCTGATTCCTGTACCTGCCAATAGTTACTTAGGTAGGATACCTATGCAGTGCAGACAGAGAGAGGTGACTGAAGGGTACTCCAAAACAGCTGAGGATTCCATTTTGGTTAAACAGAATCATAATTCACCTCCAACCAGATTCATCTCCAGAATAAGATCGACTTCCCACTCTGATCAAAGGCATGAACTTTGATTCTGTCTCCCCTCCCCCCCCAATTAACATGGTGCCCCAACTTTGCTTCACAGGAACAGGTGAATCGTAGAGTACGGATGCCACCTGCAATGGGTTCGCGCTGGTACCAGGCTAATCACTTCCATACCCAAGGCCCATATTTGCCTCGCTTTTGCGAGTCACATCACAATGCATTGTGCTCGCACCATGCCAACCCCTGCACCCACACTTCCACTTAAGGCTATTGACTTCCTGCTCAAGCTTTGCACAGTGCCCACTGTAGCACCTTTGCAGCAGAGCCTGTTGCCCCTTTGGCAGTGCCATTTTGCAACTTCCTGGGAACAGGAACTGCAATGGAGGTTAACACAGGCTGTCTTGAGCAGCAAATGAATTCCTGCGTGTTTGCACAGTGATTTTTTTTTGTTTTGGTTTTTACTAGTGATTGAAAGGTTATCTACATGACTGTTTAACCTTGAGACGAACCCTCAGTTGCTCATTCAGTCACTTCCCTCTGTCGTGCCTTATCTTTTTGATTCTAACTCGTCTTCTTCTTCTCCCTTCTTCTTCCCCTCCCCATTCATCTTGAATGCACAGGTTTATTATTTCTGACAACCACCAGTAGTTCAGACCCTGATCAGTTGGTTTACAAGACACCGGACCCTGCTGAGAAACCAGCGCGGAGTTCTCACGACGTAGCGCAACATAGTTACTTAGGTTTGTAAGTGCGCATGTGGCAGGGAAAGTGTGCAGCCAATTCCCTCTTGTGTCTAGTATATGTGTCCGAAACATTTTTGTGAGGGCAAAAGAAAGGTCGAAACCCAAATCCATGTTTGTTGTGTTTCATTTACAAGCCTCCACATTTCTGCACACTTTGATGGCCACATGAACTTCACTGCTTCCTGTTGGTCAGGTTCCATAGAGTAACACAGAAGCCGAACGGTCAGTCAAAATCAAGATGGCCACTTTCGGTCAACATTGTAACCGCCTGCCACAACGGAGCTTCTCTATCATAGCAACGGGGTATTTTAAATCCAGCTAAGTGGATGGAGAGGTGGCAGTCAGATAATATTTTGGGACAGCAATCATTTTCTGATGTTTGGAGATGCGTAAAGGTGGTTCTGGTTGCTGACATCCAGGGTTTCTATGCGACATGGGAAAACAACAAGTCACGTTCTTGATCAGGCCTGTTTTATTCCCATTGAACAAAGGGGAATTTGTTTGTGCGACTCATTTAGGAAATGGATATAAATAGAGCCAGCTCAGCCCAGACGCCATCAAGCCTGTAAGGAGGAAGTCTTTGAAGTTCCAGCTTCCTTGACAGGTGTCAGATAATTGCCAGGGAAGCCCTTAAACCCATGTCCGCAAGGAAGCTGCCTTGTTATGAGTGGCATTATAAATGCTGAAGGAGCCACCGGGAAGCAGTGATGTTGTGTGTGAGTTGTGTGTACAGCCTGCAACACTGTAACAGACTGCCGAATTGACTTTAACGAGCCATTCGATCCAAGCTCTGGTGACACCAGAGGAGTGTTTGTGCATTAGTTGGAAGCCATCCCAGTCAAAAAACAACTCCACTCAATTCCGGTAGTCCATTACACAGTTGGCTGTCAGAGTGTATGGCCTGCCTGTCATTGTGTCTACAGGAGTGCTTTCCATTGTTCTGCATGCGATGGCACCGGAGTAACACGAGTGTGCCATGGTTCAGTGCCCGCTCTCAGCACTGAACCCTGGTGCCTTCCACATGGAAAGGGCGGGTGAAAGAAATGTGTCTTTAAGCATTTCAAGGTTGGTCACTTGAAATACGATATTGGGAAATCTTTCGGAACCACTCCCGAGTATATGTGGCACATTAACATAGTCATACGTTCCACACAATAGATTTATTGGTGGGAGTCTGGGGAGGGGTCCTTGTGCATGAAGGACTGAAAGTTAACATGCAGGCATAGCACGCGATGAGAGTCGCAAATGTGATAATTGGTGTAGCGTAGCAATGTTGGAGTTAAAGGAAATGCAGCTGCATTTCAACAGGGCATTGGTGAGACCCCATTGGGAGCACTGTGGGCAGTCTTTCTTTTAGAGGGGGTGCAAGGAAGGGCCATTAGATTGCTTTCTTAGCTGAGAGAGTTGTCCTATGAGCAGAGATTGAGTGGAATGGATCTGTGTTTGTGGAGTTTAGAGGAATGAGAGGTGATCTCATTGAAGCACATAATATTTGTAGAGGGTTTAACCAGGCTAGATGCTGTGAGGCTTCTTCCCCAGGCAGGGCAGTCTGGAACTAAGGGGCATCAACTAACGATGAAGGGATGGCCATGTCAGACT